TTAAAAACAGTAGTTGTTGAGATTTAAGTTTTAAATTACGACGACTACAAAAGACAATACTGTTTAAAAGTTACATCAATATTACTTATAATTCACAGTAATTCGTGTTAGGTTACAACCGGTATCCTAGTCCAAGCCATGTGATATTTATTTTTTATTTTCATCTATGGTACACACTTGGAAATGTGTTGTGAGATTAAATGGAAATATAGAAATATCCTTTTTATTCGACTGATTATTATTGTATAAATAAGGAGAAAAGAATCTTTTGTATCATTTTACATTTTTCTTTGTTCTTAAAAATAATTTTGCTTGTTTCACTAGTCGATGTGGACAAAAGATTATCCCAATCACAAAACAAAGTCAAATCACAAATTCGACAATTCTGCGCTAATAAATGGGATCAACATTTTATACACAGTGACCAAGCAATTCATTACAAGACAATTTTTCCCTCAATTGAAGACAGCATCAAGAATTCCACCACGTCACCACGAATAAGGGACAAAATTTTATTTCGACTTCAGACGGGACATTGCCGTTTAAATAAGCACCTCCATAAAATAAGATGCCATAATAATGAACTTTGCGATTTCTGTAATGTTCCAGAGACAGTAGAACATTTTCTAATGAACTGCCATGCATATAGAAATGAAAGACGCATACTAAAGATGAAATGCCGCAATTATGGCATTGATTTTCAACCCAAAGCTATCTTACGCGACCCTAGCATTTTCCCCGCTATTGTTGATTTTGTGAAATCTACCAAGAGAGTATTATAGGCATATACAAAGTTTTAATTTAAATTGTCTGACGCAAAAGACTTAAATTGTTTAAAGCTCCATATACTTCCATACCACACGCACACACACACACTATGTCCGGTGTCATATTCCTGTTTTGTTCGGGTAAGCTTTGTTCCAATGGGAATTCCACAGTCGACGAGACGTTGATTCAAAATCTTGTCATAATAGTTGAGCGACAGAAGAGGGTTAGGGAATTCAAATTCAATTATTCCACCTCTTTGAAGTAAACATGTGGAATTACAGCAGGTACTGCCGTAGTGTGTGTACCAGGTTAGTGTTAGACCATGATTTTATTCCGATTTTCCATATTTTAGTTCTATTAAGAGTTCGGTGACTGTCTGTGTTATCCAAGTGAATATACCCCCTGTCCATAGGCTTCAGTCCCTTTATACAAATTGATGTAAAGTAGGCGAACAAAATTAGTTACCTTCATATTGGTACAAACACTTCTGGAGCGCCAAAATTAGAGCACAACAGTCGATGGCAAACATTGGTAATATGGAAGATGTTAAGGGCCAGAGAATAGTTGAAGTTTTAAGAACATTTATTTCCTCTTAAATAGTAACGTATTACTATTGATATTATTTTGGTGCTAATATAGCCCAGGATCTATCACACTATAGCGTGAAGTCCACTTCAAGATACTACTACAGCGTGAGGTCTGCATTTTCCATCCCTAATGGATATTACTTATTTAGTTCTATACATTCAATTCAGCAATTTAGGGCATGGATCAGACCTTAACAAAGTAGACCACAGACTGTAACTGGCCGGTTCTCAAGTGATTGATCTTGCGTTGTAGTAGCACAAATAATTCCCTATCCCTAATCTACTATTTATAACCTATTTTTTATAATACTGTTGAGCATTTGTTTATAAAAAATATAAATAATTAGGCGTTTCAAATATAGTATCCCGGGAGAGTGTACTAAGATAGTATACTATGGTACAATTTTGTAATTTCTTTTAAAAATTCAATGACTTAAATATTATTTGTAAAAAGTACACTTACTCAATATTCTCGGCGTTGTGCCATTGTGTTGTGCAAAGAGGCATTTTATAAAATATTATTTTAAATCATTATATTTCTTGTCTAGACAATTTGACTTTTTCAAAAATGAATGATAAGTATTCTAAGCTCGTAATTTGGATTAGGGTCGAGGTGGAGATAGCACTAAATCCTACTTTGAGTTGCACTTTCATACAAATCTACCTTATGAAGTTAAACGATTGATTAAAGTGATATAAAAATAGCATAATTATTCTCCGCGAAATAGCATGTATATTTGTGATTCTTCGAACAGAAACGAAATATGACTGGAAATATGAAAGATCATAATAATAGGTAGTAGACAAGGAGAAATGAACTGCAGTTCAATACAACTGTGTCCATAACGCGCGTGACTCCCCGAGTCCAAAAATTTCATTTCGACTTGTCGTCCTACTTGGAAAAACCTTAAAGTCGATTTCATAATCCTATAGCTTTAAATAATAAGGGTAGTTTGCCGGTTTTAGTTCCAATCAACATTTTAAATGAATATATGAATGAGATATGGAAGGAGTAGAAGGTTTATGTCTGTAATCAGTAATCAGTAATATGGAATCAGTTTACATCAATTTCGAGTATTCTAACTCAGTGTGATTACTTTTATCTGGATATTTGACGGCTTCTTATTTGTTTCACTTGGAACCAACAAAATTTAGGATATTGTGCACCATCTGACGGATATTTAAATTTAAAAATGTCTTCAACGGAAAATATGTCAAATATTTCAATCTGCAATCGGGTACTTTGTGTTACTTCACTGATTGCAATACCATGTGGACTTTTGGTAATGACAGCTGGAATCCTGGTTTTAGTATATGGACCAGTCACAGACAGTGGTATCATAAGCTACTTGATTATGTTCATCGGTGTTCTGATATCAGTGGGAACACCATTTTTCGTCATGCAGCATTTTCGACTCGGATTAAAAAGAACAAAATGCGGATTTAAAATTATACAAAAACAGAATAACGAGAGACAAACAAGAGGATACTTATGTAAACCGGATGCACCATATCGTACACCAGTTGTAACGACAATATCAGATAATATACGGAATTCGCCAACGGGTTAATAATTTGGAACAAGAGAGCAATGCTCAAATATATAAACACGAAATCGGCGCATTGGTATCAAATCAATTCAAAAAGCTTGTTTGAAGAAGTCTGACCTTAATCAGACGAAACGTTACAAAAAATCATTTGTGTTCGTTGGCAAAAAGACTCTCGAATCAAATAGAATGTCATCTTTATTTTTACTACAGAATCAATATTATACAATTATGGATCCATTTGTGCAGAGACAAATGAACAACAAAATATAGTTGGTCTCGTAAAACTCCAACTGCTACAACCATCGTATTTAATAAAAACAACGGCGTTGTTCAAGTCGGTTACAATGATTGAAATATAATGAAACTAGAACTGGTGTTCTGAAAGATTTTATGCAGAAGCCAACTAGAAGTCACGTAGTTTATACACGAGAACTGACTTCACTGACATCAAACTTGATTCGAAATGAAGAAGGAATGATGCAACAGTTCGTATCTGAAGTAATACATTACAATGAAATTGTCAGTTCGGGTTATGAGGACTAAATACCATTCCTCGATCTCTGCCTATGCGTATGTGGATCAGTATGTATATATTGTAACAAGGATTACTATAGCAAGGTGAAAGATGACTATTCTGTTTATTTCAAGAGTCTTGCTGTACAACATAAATGCATTTCTTTTGGTCTGCAGAAGTATGACCTTGGTCAGACGAAACGTTACAGAAACTGTTGGTGTGCAGAAAGCCACTTGAATTAATAATGCAAAGCTACAGAATTCGCACTTTCCCGTGATGTTTCGAGAAATATAAACCAGATGCCTATTGAAAGTCACGCGATTACTCTTGAAATAGTCGTACCTAGGAAATTTGTAAACATGCCGATAACACACTTATTTAGGTTGTTTATGGAAATTTGATCAACTTCTGAGTGTAATTTATTACGGTTTGTTGTTTTTTTATTATTAGAAATGAACCAGCATTAAGACATATAGTAATATAATTTTTGAAAGCATGAATTATAATATGTCCGATTGCAACATTTATTTATTTTGGTATTTAACAACTTTTTCATTTAATCGGATTCAGGGTGCCGTATAAGCGAAATGATGACAGATTTTATTGCTTTTTAGTGTTTTTTTCCTTAATAACAAGTTTTCATATTTACATATGTATCTATGCTGGTTTACTTCAATATTCAATACAAAACACTCGCATCAATTTTGGGCTTCATTAATATTTCAATATTGAGATAGCAAAACCACTGAGTTCATTACGTGGCATCAGTTGGAGCTACAAACTGGTGGTTCATTCTATATATCTATCAGTAGAGGTTGCGCGAGACTAACTCCCAATCCTTCCTCAATGCCTTTGCGCTAGTGGATTCGCATGCGTAAAATACAAGGGTGCTGTAGCAGGAATAAACATACCATAATATGCAATTCAATAGACCTGTTGCAAACTAAAACATGTGTGTTAGTGTGCAGCAGGACTATTGAATTGCATATCATTCTATATTTTAAATTCTACATTCAAATTTGGCCCTATACTTTGCTCAAACAACTAACAACTGGTCGAGATGATTGTTAACTTTTACTATTTCCGCAATATTACACTTGTGAGCATATTATTAGGCGAATATATCGCTTGTCACACTGATTAATATTGACTATTTGTTACTCTAAAATGAACCTATAGGTAGCCTTTTGTTAAGGCATGATTGTATTGTTCCAGCCATAACCATAATAACACTGACAAATTCATGATTATTGCGCATGTGCGCATTTTATTGACCAATAAAATCTACTAAAAATAAAATAAAAAAGGTAAACAATTTACAGAAAAATGTAAAAAAGAGAAACAAAATATAAAATTCCACCTTTGACGAAATACTTTATTTTTTCATAAAACGATTCCTTATGTCAGAGTATTATCAAATATATATATATGAAATCCAATGAAACATACTTTATCACAACTCTCTATAAGAGATGTAATAACACAGCTCCAATTGTGTCGGGTCATTTTAGGCCGATAATTTGGGCCGCAAAGAAGACAAACAGACAATTAGTGAATTACTGTTACGAGGGATTTTTGACATAATAATCTGAAAGAATTGTAAAGCTGATAAAATTGACGGTGTATCATATTGAAAAAGTTAAAAGACATCAATATTGAAACCAGAAACGTTATTTATTCAAACTCATTTACAACTCAAGATAGGCAAATAGTTGATATAGACAACTTAGAATGAAGTAAAATTTGTAATAAAACATTTATGGGATGTAAAATAGTATTTTTTCAATAAATATCATCGATTCGCATTAATTGATATTTAGAAAATGGAGTTTATACCGATGGCGAAAATGTCTATCCCCTTGCGTTCGCCACCAAGCAAGCTCCTATTGCTACCTTGTTCATGAAGTTCCGCCTCAATGGCTCCTTGTTACCATGGCTATCGGCAGTTTCTGATCCACCCGTGTCACACGAACTTTGACCCCACTTGTTTGATCTACATTCCATAAAATCAAGCTATAAAATTACGATCCGATTTGCCCTTGTTCGGTGTAGATCTGGCGCTTTGATTTTTAGGTGTATAAGGTTTAGGCGCAATCAGTGGGGACGTTATATTAGTTGAATGATTGGCATTTGACACAATAAGATCAGATTCCTCATCGACGGGTAATCCAGAGTCGCAAGATGGTGCTGCAGCGCTCGTTGACGAAGTCGAAGACTCAGTTTCTTCATTTTGGATCTTTGTTGATGACACAGTCGGTTTGACATCATTATTATTCGATTTTATGTCGCTAATGCGACTCGAGTCTGTAACTGCAGATGTATTCATATTTACACTTCGTTGTGCCGAGAATACAGAGTTGTCGCCATCGCTGTTGGTTCCAGAAACTGAATAAGGAGCGACTGCAGCAGATGGGGGTTGGAGACGACTATGGTTGAGATTGTCGACTCCATTATCGTCTTCGATAACTCCACTGAGAGGACGCCTGTGCTGTTGCATGTAACCAGGTTGTGGCTGGTATGCTTGTGACGTCACTGGGTAGTCTATGCCGCCATAAAACTTTTGTTGTGGTTGTGGCACGCCGTATTGAAATGACTGTTGCTGTGGCTGATTATATACCATCAATGCGGCGGGGTTAGATCTGGTCATTGGCCCATATTCGCTGCAAGAGGATGCACAGCTGCTAGTACTCCGACTGCTCTGTGTAGGCCTTCTTGAATTTCCGTATTGGGGTTGATCGGCGTAATATCTAGGCTGGAAGTTCTGGCTCTCGTTGTTCATAAAACCTGCCGGAGTGAAGCTATGTGAGAGTTGTGTTGGGTCTTGGGATCCCTGCAGATCGACTACCAGTCCTTGTCCCTGATACACTGGCGCGGAAGTACTTGTAGCAGGCGATGATTGACTGAATACGTTTTGAGAGGCGGGACTTACATTTGGAGCTGCTGGCTGTGAATACTGTTGAGAGATATTTGCAAACCCGGTAACTGCATTATATGTTGGTGGAGGCGAAGGAGTGTTGTAGCTTGGAATGCTGGCAGTTTCCCTGTGAATAGATAAAGAATTTGTTAAAGAATAGGACTCAACAAAAAATGACGTTATCTGCGGTAAACAGAATCAGTCTACATCTGGAGTGAGTTTAATTGTACCTCTGACATTTGTAATTACATTTGCCTATATCTATCAGTCTCAGCTGACGAATATTACTTATGGTGTTTGTGTAGTTTATATTATTACAGGTTCATTCATTCATGCAAATTTCTTACAGCCTCAGTTCTATAAATATGAACTTACATGCTTGAATACTGTCCGTATTGTCCTTCTTTCATAATGTTGGTTAGTTGCCTATGAATTCCACGTGCAAGTTGTGAAGTCATTCTGGTCGCATTTGCTCCTTCCCATCCGCACAATTTGGCATGGATGTCCTATGAATAAGACAGTAAATTAAACTTTAATTTTATTCGTGACTTGTTTGCCAAGTTGAAAATTGGTCCAATCTACGATTAATATACGTTAGATATCAACAAAAAATAAAAGGTAACCAACCTTGAAAGATGGTCGGCAGTTAGGATCCTGAGCCCAACATTCGTGCATGAGTGTGTAAACACGAGCGGGACACTGATCTGGACAGGAAAGAAGCTGGAATCTGGTAATCATATCCAAAACCTGTAAAATAATTTTGAAATAAGCAATATTCATTTGTATAAATGTGACCCCATCTTCAATCATCATATATTTTCAAAGGCATGGTCGAATTTCAAGGAAAAATACAGTGTACAAACTAAAGTATTTTAGAAAAATATACTCACTTCTTGATTGCTGTATCCACAATATGGTTGAAGACCGTAGCTGAACATTTCCCAAACTAGGACTCCAAAAGACCAGACAGTACTCTTGGTTGAAAAGTTGTTGTTAGTGAGTGATTCTGGGGCCATCCACCTGAAGAAAAGGAATTTAGACTTCATTCATAATCCTGATCTAATCTATTCAGGGATTATGTTACTTAGATTCAGTCATCCAATTGAAAATATTTAAAAGTGGCTTTTATTCTTATTTAGTCTCAGTATGGTGATTTCATATATATATATCAATAATTCACTACTAAAGAAGTATAAATGCACGGTTAAAAATTTCTCTCTACCTGATTGGAAGCATATTTCCTCCTTGTGGTGATCTGTAGTAACTTGATAGGTAACAATCTCTGACGACACCAAGGTTGCAGATTTTAAGAATGTTGTTCTGGCAGACCAAAATATTCCTGGCTGATAAGTCGCGATGCACGAAATTTCGAGAAGCAAGGTAATCCATTCCAGAAGCAATCTGTTATGAAATATCATATTTTAAAATTAAGGTGATAATATGTATTAGAAAACTAATAGGCAAAGCGCTTTGATATTTGAAACGATGTATTTCAATAAATGTAGTATTGTTTGATTCAAATTTTGTATTTAATTCGCACTTTTATATCTATGAAGCCTAAATGTCTTGCCATGTAATTTCATGTTTCGTGCTATGTTCATTCGGACGGTACCGTTAAGTTTATTGTAACAGCATTTCATATCAACATAACCTTTGGCCCCTTAAATCACATTCGGAAGATACAATTTTGATAATATACTTATGCGCCCACCATGAACGCATATAGTAATTTAGGCATTACGACTTCTACGGAATATTAGTATAGTTAGTTTAGCGACAAATATTCCCGACGGAAGCCAAATACCAACCGGAGACATATTTTACACTCTAGTAGATAAACCGTTTGAATTTTGAAGTGGGGTAAATATGTACACTATTTTTCAGTTATTATTTTGGTTTGTAGTGACAGCAAATTTGTTTGAAATTTTAGAAGGTCGTTTGAGTTGTGCATATCATTACCGGGAAATATTATTGAAAGGGATTATTTGAAACCTTTACAAAGAATACGTTGTGGCTTGGCACAAGTTATAAAGTGATATCTATTGTGTAAAAAGGGCACGCAAACTCGAGAAAGTCAGTTTCCTCGTTGATTAACGCAACTTCGAAATTGCAAATATGGTAGACATATGTTTACATCTGCAACCAATATTCTGAGAAGAATTGATTGATCGAGCCCATTTCGTATTTTGGAGCGAATCATAATTTGAAAACAAAACCGTGTTTGAGGACCCACTTTCGTCAGAATGAAGGGGGGGGGGGGGATTTGAGTTCACATTATCAAATATTTACCTGGGACATCATCATAATGAAATCATTCGGTTCGAGTGAACTCGATGCCTGACTGCTGGCACTGCTTGACATCTTGGTAGAAACTCCGACGTCAGAGTGTGGTGAATGGAGGCTGAGAAATTCATGAAGGTCGACCCTGTTGGTATATTCAAACACCATGCAACGACGATTTGGCTGAACGACTACCGCCTGTAAGGTGTGAAAAACAATGCTAAAGTCAAGGTTCAAGTTTTACATTTATGAGTCATATGCCAAGATCGATGGGGTTGAATGAGCACTATAGCATAAGACAAACTTGCAAACGCGCCGTACTCCTCAGCAGTAATATTACGTGAAAGAATCATTACTTATCATCATCACTTCCTATGTAAATTAAGGCTAATTAAAATATATAAACCAAGTATATAAAAAGCTAATTACTGGTAGGTTTTGTAACAGTTTTTATTGGAAATATTTCAAATTCTCGATAAATATTTTATGGTCCATCAGTTCCCGTATATTTTGCCAATAAAACGTAAAATTAATCATAAAAATTCTTTTTTCTATCACGGTATATGACATGCTATTTACATAAATCTTGTGGACGTCATTGTTCACAGGTGAGCGTTCTCTAGAGATATTTGTCAGATTCTGACATGCTTTAAGTCGCTTATCTATCTTTCGGTTTAATTAAATTAGAAATATGACTCAAAAATCAGAATGGGTTGTTTGTGCAGTAGCGTCGTTGTCAGAGTTGAAAAAGGAACAGCGCTAGAATGTTTCGAAAAAATGATTTTAACATGATTTTTGTGAGGACAACATCGCTTGAATGTTGAGTTTCGAAATATTTCATTCTAATAACTAGAACATTTGTATCATTGCTACTTCTAGGATTTACATCATGAACGTATGTTTAAACTTTTTCAAACATCAATGCAAAATATATATATATACCTTTAAACATGCAACGTTAGGATGTTGTAATTCCGAAAAAATTTCCATTTCTCTTTGAAACTCTTCGACTTGGTATTTTGAAGCTCCTTCGTTGAGAGTTTTCACAGCAACCTTGAATATTGGAAAAAAAATTGTTTTTGAGTGTTACGAAGTTATAGGTAATGGCTAAATATAGAGAAAATTAACCATCGCTATTACATTAGTATCTGTCTCAAAGTAATTCTAAGTCTGAATTGGGTGAAATGCCGCAATGAGTAAACTATAAACAAAGAGTGTTGTTCGTATAAGCTCAAGGTGGTTTGGGTCGTAATTGTTTGTAATGGATTTACTTCGAGTCGGACTTTGAAGGCGGCGAATGACGACTTGGAAGTATAATTAAATCCATGTTTGATGAATATCTTACAGTAGCGCTTGTTTTACAATGTCAGGAGAAATGTATCTACCACAATATCGTGTCGAGAATAAAAGGCACTATTCCTATTAGAAACTAAGGAAAACTCGTTAGAATTTAGTAATATTTATATCAAGTTGTTGGAGATAATCGTAAAATACCGTTTTACGTGTTTGAACCAAATATGAACCAAGCACCATGGGACGCAACTTAGAAAACTTATCATATAAGTAAACGCCTTGTCTAATTTTTGTTTTAATCGCCATTAAACAAGTGGTGAAGATTGACCTCAGTGAAACTTTTTTGAGCATCGACTTGTTACTCATTACCTTTATCGTCAAATCTACATATTTAATATTATAAACACTACTGGAAATCGTTTGTCACAAAATATAGTTATCGTTAAATCTACGAAGCCAAAATTAAAGTTCGACATGTTTTTGAACCATAAATATTTCGTATTTGTATTTCACAAAAACAAGAAATAATTGATCAGAAAAACTCGCCGACAAGAAGAAACGGGAGAATGTATTATTGGAAAAACTGAATGACATTCGATGATTGTTGCAAACTAAATAAAAACTCAATGCTGAATACAAATTTCGATTTTGGTTCATTGCAAATGTTTTTTGAAGTTTATCTCGACATCAATGTTAGATCAGATACATAAGATGGGGAAAGCGATATAAATGTTTTTTTTATTGTAGAATACATCGTAAAGATACTTATCACTATAGAAAGTATTGATGCTATTGAACAGAGATTGAGGCGACATCCAGTAGAAAAAAATAAGAGTTTTATGCCTTCCAAATTATATCCATAGTAAAGAGGGAAAAGATGTGCCGAAAGCGACCGTGTAAACGACCACCCAAAAATATGATGATGTTTAAAGGAAACTAATTAACATCTTTGCTGGAGGTATAATTTTTCAATTAGATTGTTTTCAGTGAAGTTCTATTTTTCGTACCACACATGGCTACAAAACAAGTTGAAAATTATGGTTTTGTTGTAATAGGATTTGATACGGATAGCGGAAACATGGCAAATTACAAGATTTTATGATAATTTGTTTTATTTTTAAACGATTTTATGGCGTTAGGTCATTTTACATCGGAAAGGTACAACTACAAATTTATTAAAAAAGACGAGTCTACAATTTCGTTATTTTCACCGTTAGTTTAATAATTATGATCAGAATCATCATTATGTTGAAATCATTACAAAAATTCTCGCTTAAACAAGTAAACACTGCACGGAAATAGTCGACTTTAGATATAATATGCTCCATTAAAAACGGAAGCCCGATTGTGCTTGAATATTTCCTGGCGAGGGCAATTGGCTTTGCCTAATATTTACATAGTATGATATCGTACGCGGCTCATTAGCACAGTATTGGCATCGTGAGACCTTTCTATGCACGATTGGGTGATGAATGTAAGATTCACTTCACCAGGGCGTTCCTATACGTGCTTATTGCGACGGCTTGATATCCATATATTTGATTAATGTAAGTTGTGTTTTGTCGCTAATAATGCACGTTGAATAATTCAATATTTAATCTCATTATTCTTATTTTATTTTCAAATTTATTAAATAAACAATCCATCAATGCTTCCAACATTCCATATTAGATTTAGCTAAAAATATCTCAATGTTATCAATAAGCTGTTAAATCTACGTGATGTGTCAAACACGCGACAAGGTATATTATAGCCCCGATATTATCTAAATTTAAAGTTCCATGACAAGTTCATTTTGATGCAGTAATGATTAGGTAAAGCTTGATTAAAACACTACACAGCTACCCAAAGTATAAAAAGAAAACCGAATGTCAATCAACACGAGGCATGAAATCTGTGAATGAATTTTTACATCGAGTTTGACACAATCACTGAAAAGAATCAAAAGGAAGCATGCCAATCATCACAAATAATATTTTTTTGAATGGTGTTTCGGGTGACCACCAGAGGACAAGAATAAAACGTTATCAATAAACGTGAAGTAGATTGAATCATGTATCGCTGGTATACACATCACCAGTCTCTTGTTTCTGGGACAATAACATGATTTGGTTGATGAAAGTAATAACAGTAATAATCATATACCACAGTACAGAAGTTTAGTAATCATTGACCTGTTTCAAATTGGTCCATACTTCATAATTCGTAATTTCAAATGCATTCCACTGCCTCAAGTTGTTTTTAACGAAGTAAGGCGTGACACAGACCCGTGGAATTTGATTAAATATCTTTTTTTTTGTTTCAATACATTATAACAAAGGCTATTTTCATACCTTTCGTAAGTACCTCGCGTAAATTTCTAAAATATTGCGTCGATACAGAAAAATGTATAATACTTGTTTTACATGTTATAAAGCTAGTTGACACGCCGACAAATGTAGCATAACCTTTTACCACAGGTCGCAACGCTTTGGGCGTACCTGCTACTTCTTTATTCAAGATAGCAGGATTGATAAGTAGTGTGGCGTAAACATTGGAAAAATTGAAAATTTAATATTCAAAATTTCGATAGGACTATTGGTGCTTTTAACCACTGTGCGTTTTTACCAACTACTGATTAGGTAACTCAGATTTAACTTCATGCATTCGACATAGTGCTTTAGTTTAGTTTAGACAGCTCGCAATTAGCAAACTATACAAATAATATCTGAGGGAACCTTTTTTTCATTTCTTTAATTCAAGATATATTGTTTTGGTGCATACATTTTAAATAAAGTATTAAACGGTCACGTCACATACTATCCAAAACAAACATAACACAGGAAAGCGATTAGGTAAATTTGGTATCTATAAATACACTGCATAATGTATAACTTGCGAACGACCCAGACATTTACAAATTACCCAATAGCTCCAAGGCTATTTGGAAAATTGCCGCCATGTCTGCCTATCACCGATCTGACACAACATTGAACAAACCATCAAGTTCTCTAAATGAATGAATTTATTCGGGATATCAAGGTTACAAGAAAAGTAAAAAATATAATAAAACGAAAAGGAAATGAAACAATAAAAACAAAATTAATAAAAGAATAAAATATTACAAAGGTAAGCACAAAAGGCAAAGTAATCAATTCAAGCACAAAGAGGCCATAAAATGTGATAAATATGAAGTAGGATATTACCATGTCGGGGGAATGCGATTTGACCGCAGATAGGCAATCCTAGCCATGGTTGCTACACAGATCGGATTTCAGTTACGACGACAAACGGTGACGAACTGTGCTGATTTATTGGCATTTTTGGAAGACTTGAATTTATGAAACAACTTCTAACGTAACAATTCGGCCAAATATCTTGGCTGTGCCATTCAAAATACCAGTACTATTTACTGTGCCGCATGGGCTGGCGATCTTAATCTTTTTTCACGCAAGAACCGAAAAATGTTGCTAATCGTTGCCAATTTCCGGTAGAAAATGATAAACCACGAGTCAATTTTGTATGAGCGAGGTCGAAAGCATCTCGGGATCATTGTAAAGAACATGCAAATTATCTGATATTTCACAGTTATTGAAATTGATTCATTTGTCAAAGTATAACTTAAGACATTGATGAAACTAATACAAAACATGCTACTAATATAACGATGTACAACGCAGTATGTGGTAATTTTATCCAGTACAGATTCCCCAAGTGGTAATAAAATAAATCATATATAGTTCAAGTTAGGTAGGATTCGCGCACAATTTAATGCATCAATTGGCAGTTTAGCTCAATGATGGCTAGTCGCATGCCAAAGCGGTAAATGGTTTGACAGTCCACAGTTCATTTTAAGGCAGAATAGCCGCAATTGGTTTTCGTCTTTCATTCAGCATCACAGTGAATATCTTCGGTTTGAAGTAGTTTAGCAGCAATTCATCAATCTGCAGACCAGCCATTTTAGTTTGTTGGATATGCGAAGGCTGAGAACATTTTCAGATTGTATCGCACCTATACATAACATTGATACTACAGAACGCGCGGAACTTTATCGCAAAGTCCATTTTAGAGTCTTTGGTATATTAGCGCCGATCAGCATGCCAGTTAGTACAAGTTAGATCCAGTTGAAACCAGATTTAGTCGGAATAATCTCGGTTCTACTTACTGGAAAGTTTGAGTTGAAGTTCATGTTTTGTGCGAGCTGAGCTTTGTAGACTTTTCCAAATTGTCCGTCTCCGAGATCCATCGTAAAGTGTAGAGATTGCGGGTTTAGGTGAGGAACTTTAGTCAACTGTAAACAGATAGGTAGAAGGTTTAACCCAAATGTCGACGAACTTGGAGTCAAAGATGACAACATTATTATATTTAAATCCTCTCGTTGTTTACGTAAGATAACCAAATTAAATACAGTCCAGGGCTTTATTATGACACAATAGTGTAATAAAACTTACATTTTTTGTAGTTGCAAGTGAGAGTTCGACTCCTGGCATCGAAGAATTTTTAACTTGCTTTCCTGGGATGCCCTTTGACCTTTTGTTACGACAACAGAAATAGAAAACAGCGCCAATGCAGGCGATCAACAACGGGATGGCGACGCTTGGGATGAGTATAGTGATGAGTTCAGAACCAGACGATGGGATAGCTGTATAAAAATAATACATCATTTATTACGTTGTGTCTTATGCATATACTGCAGGGGCGGGCGAGGTTTTTACCAGGGGCTAACGAATTGTCCCCACCTGGACTGGCGGGCCATGTAACGTGTCGTATAAAGTTACATTATATGAACAATAATTACAGTATTACAAAAGTGGAAAACAATGAGCCTCTTGCCATGACAATTCGCAATTTCAACAAATTTCTTGAGCTATTTTTCAGCTCAAACAGCAAAATTTTGTTTTATTTCGGATGTGTCAGCAGCAGACGGGGTAGATTGAATTACCCAACGTGCCAGATTTGGCCCGCGGGCCGTAGTTTGCCATGCCAGATATAAATTGTCGTATCAATATCTCTAATACTAAGTAAGGCTTTGTTGTATGAAACTTCGATTCAAAAATATCAAGTGAGATTATATAACTTACCGCATTTACTGATATCGCATAGTTCTCTTGTTTTTCTGGCTTCGTCAATGAAACACCAGGGCTGTTGTTCAAGGTGCCCAGGATTTCTGCAGAAGTTGTGTCCTCCAGAGAGTTCGGTATGCTACAGAAATAAGTGAATTATTAGCACAAGAATATTGGGGAATATTGCTATTTCTAAAAACGAGTAAAATATTTAAATTAAATTAGTCAGATAAAATCACGAATCCGGTTATTTTATTACCTTTTGCACTAAATCCAAAGGCCAAGATTTACAGGTGATTCCAGAAATTGTTTTCCGTTGGACTCCTTTGTATTCATAACCGGTACCGTTGTAGCATGTGTGTTGCTTTTCAACAACTGATTTCAGTCCGACTTTCATGCATTCAGAACCTCTTGCTGTGGTCGGTGGGAGTTGGGAGCAGTTTGCTGTGGCCGCGATTTGCTGTAATAGACGAAAAGATGTTTAAATCGATGCTTACTTTTATTTGACATACGCCCAGTGCATGAAGCATTTGTTCATTAATGAAAGGTTTTTGGTTTGTACCGTACCTCCATGAAAACATCGTCGTCGGGGTTTTTAAATTCATTTTTACAGACGTCATTCATAAGCAATTCACAATCTTCTCGGCAGAGTTTGGTCGCTTTTTCCTCTGCAGTTTGTTTCCCCCTGATCGCTCTCAAAACTTCATCTCCGTTATCGCAAACAGGGAAGACAAAATAACAAAGAGCAGGTATAGCATGTCGTTGGCACGTCTGGGATACGAGATCAGGATCGGCTGAAAGAAACGGAATCATTAAATTACTTGCTGATACACATTGGTTAATAAGTTTCTAAATGCACCACGGTATTAAAATTACGTTGAATTTAACTTGAAGATTTTTATCCGACATTCCGACAAAACTAAATTTACAAGGGTACTCACCTATTCTACTCAGTGCCAAAGACATTGATTTCTCCATATCCATTTGATTCTGGTACGGGTCAATATAAACGTGTCTTCCAGCAAGGAAAGTAGCGCATGCAAGTCCTTGATATGGTTCGCATTTACCAGCAGGAATAATTCTGTGAAAAATGCAAATTGGTAAGCTAAAACATCGTACAAGTTGTTAAATTGACAAAATATACAAAATAATACTTACGGTTCGATTGTCTCGTCTTTGCCAGGTGGTGGTGGTCTGACTGTTAAAACAAACGACATTGATTAAATGTTGTGACCCTGTCAATCTAACATTCAAATTAGCTTCAAGTGCGTCAGAAAGTCTTCAAAAGAATCGTTATTCGTAAATATTATGATGATAAATCCGGATAATACCGGATAATACTGGCCGAAAAAACAGCTTATGCCCACCAATCAAGTCATGAACTTTGGAGACCTTGGTGACACTTAATTGTATTGACCATAATCCATTCAAATCAATATGGTAACAGCGAAAACTGAGAGAACTTTTTTGATCTGAAGACTTTGGAACAAAACACAAAACACAGATTACACAAATTTGTAATCAAATAAAGACTTAGGGATTTAAATTTTAATGCGAGTAAATCAAACCATTACAGAAATATAGACTATTTATTAAACCGCAATGTTGTCATCGCCAATTTTATAAAAAGTGAGAAATTCCAGTAACTGGGTACAAAAATTAAATTGTATAGACATTATGACACAACTGATAAGGGAGGCACCAATACCGGATTAAATTTTCTGTTTGTTTTGTACGGATTAGTAGCGGAGTCCGGAAAACGCGATCTCGTACCGGAGTTTGTTTATTTGTTATTAGTGACAACAGCCTGGCAATCTATCAAGAGTGTTTTGAGTCACTCAACACGACCATCGGAATTTGTGATAATTATTCAATTGACGAAGTTTAAGAGAAGTATCATTAAAGTATATTTCAGGCTTGATATGGTTGTCTCTCGAATATGCAATTCGCTGAAACTATGCCAGTCTCTTAGTACGATTTCTATTATTAGCCAAGTTCGCAGTAAAAATAACTTTGTTTCCGAAGACAAAAAGATTAATTTCAGCTTAGTAGGTGGTTAGAATTATGCAGAACCAAGTTTTACATTATCATATAACGCGTGTCGCGGATATCCGATTCCAATGACGTCATGGTTCAAGGAAAGGTGAAAACTTTAAACCATGGCAACGCAGAGGGTAAATGAGATGCATTTACCACATCTGGACATTCTCAAAGGAGATCTGGGTTATGACAATTCAATGAAATTTTAATTTAAATGGTTCTGGTGGTCGGGCTTCTCTAGAGTTTTGATGCGGAAATGGGGGATATTGTTTATCAGATTTGTGTGGTCTTCAAACCGTTAAGACATAAGCACCCTATCATTTTCACATAACAAATGAGAATGTGGCGTGCGCCAAACTGCGATTTTTTTGGATTTTTTCCGTCTTTAATTCCGCTTGTTCGAGAGCGCAAATTTTTCGCAGTGAACTGCAATATTTTTGTTAACTTGTACTAATTAGAAAAGTAAACTCCATCCCCTAAATTTTTGTTTGTAATAAGGCAAGTGTACAAAATGTTGAAGAGTTTGAAGTGGCTGCCGGTGGGTTATGATAAGGAATACCTAACTCGTCCCACAACAGTGAAACCTTGTCAACACTGAGTCTGTGCTTATCAGTATCGGTAGTCTATAAGACGACGAAAGCTTCCAGTAGGTTGTCTCTCAACTGTCGAAGTTGAAAAAGGATTTTCGAGTGTGCCATAATAAATTACCCAGAACATTGAGAGTTAGTTGACATATATATTAGCTTATCTCAACCGGTATTTGTACAAAGAATATGATACCATATGACAGAGGGTACATCAACCTTACATTATGCTGTTAGAAAACTACACCTAAACATATTCAAGGTTATTTATGCGATAGAATTCCTCCAAATGATCGCATTGAATTTTTAAACTTGGACGCAGGAAAAACTGCCAATCAGATCCAATCATTGTCCATAACTAGGAATTGAAATTAGAACAAAGTTCATTAAATTTATTTCAATGCGATTTTACAGTATCGCATTGAAATTCATACTTTATTATACGGTAATTCCGTTGTTATCATAAAATTGATGAATTTCATGTCATATTTTAAGTGCTCCAATAATGGATGAAGAGGTGAAGTAGCGTTACCATAATACCCTATTGAGGAGACATTGGATACATTCCATGAATACCTGTTTAATTATTCGATACCACATTTGTACAAGAAACAAATACTTATTCTAGGGTTACCATTCTAATATAATAGATGTTTAGGAAAAGTTGTTAAATGAAAGCTGAGTAGAACTTGGATGTTTTCAGTGTTAAGGGTAATAGAGTATTGTGTACTGAACTGCAAGTCCTTTCTTCCTACTCCGTATTTGTCAGTTGCACAAAGATGCTTGAACGAGATAGTATCGTAAATATAATATGGAGATCGGACATTTCCTATTTATATTTTTAATGTATATATTATTTGAAAGGCTATATAGAAAATATTCATAATTAAATCTCTAATTCCTATTCTAATATTTAATATAATGCCAAAGCGTAATCTACTACAAACATTTATCTAAGAAAATCTCCCAAGTTATTGAGATAATTTAGCCGGGTTGCATTCATCCAGAACCCCTCAAAACGAATTCCGTGTCGAGAGCTGTCACGCCTAACTTACATCAGGAAAGGGGACTAATTTTACTTGATTCCTCTCACGCAAGCAACGTAAAATAAGCTGAACTTCATCCACGGGTTACAGAGCAATCCATATTACAAGCTAAGGTTGAATACAGAATTTTATATTTCTGTTTCTAAATTCAGTATCAAAAGTTCAACAACTAAAATTCTTTTGCCCTATAGTGATCTTTAAATGTATACCAATTTTGTGTGTTTAACCCATGGTATTTAAAACGGCCGGAGCAATTGTTTTGCAGGAAATTAAAAATTCTGTAATAATAAAACGTAGTTATATACGGAACATTAATTTTGGTTCGTCTCGACCGCTACTAGTCGCTACTGAGGTCCAAAAACAATACCCCATTTTTCTCCTTAAGGGACAAACACCTGCTTCGACGTCATTGATGTTTGTGTGCAGTAACACTAATAGTCCAAATCCTTTTCTGGTCGCCAATAAATCTTCTCAAGTTTTGGGCAATTAAATGAATTCCTTATTTTGTTTATCCGGTGAGGATATATTATAATCCCACAATGAAATCGAAACGGGGTAGAAATTGTTTGTGTCGAATGCGATTTTGTTTTGGATACGGAAGAAAGGAATATTACAATGAGAAAGTGTGTGATTTCATTTGAGAAAGTGATAGCCAACTTATAAACTCATTCACTCAGTAGAGGTTTTAATAATTCTTAAATATAAATATTGAAATGTCATCTTGCAAATCTAACTAAACATAAAACCAAACATAATTTTATTAATTATTAGAAAAATATTATTGAAATGCAATTTGATTACTTTATTTTCTACTTATTTTGATATAAAGGTAAATCTCTGTTGAATTTACATATTACTCGAAAGTGTATTACAAGGCCAATTTGATCCCGTCAAAAAAAAGAGTTTGTTATTTAAACTTGACTTTTGACCATGACGATAGATCCATCCTAAGAGAATCATTTAAGTTTTGAGAAAGTAACTGTTTTTATTGAAAACTGTCAGAAATCGTATACTGTGTTGTGTAGTGTAATTGACCACGAAAGTTTGAAAGATTTGATTGAATTATTTTCTGAGGCGTAATGACATTATGATTACATTATAACCCCAGCGGTCAAAATCACTTAGGTCATTAAATATAGATTTAAAGCCGGATCTCTAATCGAACTCTTGACTGAGAAATAATTCCATATGTGAATTAACCACATATCTCATTAGAGGTATTACGGCAAGGCAATAAATGTATTTTCCAATCGAAAAGACATTTCTATCTCTTACGAACTTAATGGTTTTGTAAAAAAAAAAACGATAAATAAACTTATTATACTAGTTTAGTACGGAAGTTGAATTGGTTCTGAAATTATGACCTTAAATTTAGAGTATTGAATAATCGACCACCCACGTTGGCTGCAGATTGGGTCTGGTTCTAGGTAAAACGATCCGGTTTGAGTTTCAAACATAGTTACCAAGTAAAAGAAACTGTTGTTACGACCCCGTAAGACACATAAACTCTGATTCTGCATTCAAGAAAGAAATGTGGGACAAAGCTATGGATTATGTTGCATTACTTGGCAAACATTGTGAAGTAAAAATATGCCCTCACGTAAAAGTTGTATTGTACCATATATTTGGCATATATCTGTATATGGCATGATATAACCTGGGTAATTATAATAAGTATAAGGCCAGTGAAATTGCACAACAAGCGTCAAAAGAGATTCTTATAATTTAAAATTCTTGGCGTGTTAGCTGGTTGTAAACAGACTTATAATTTGGGGAAAGCTTGAAAGGCTGAACTACGTCATTTCATGGGTAATTTACTAAACGAGCTTTTTGACTAGCGGCTATTTTATGATGTTTTAGAGGTGCAAAAGTACTTAAATAACAAGTATTCTGACGAATAACATTTTTCATGTTTGGTGAGCATGGTACAATTAGTACATTTATAAATATTTCAAACTTGGCGATTTTTGCATCGACGATTTCGTTAGTATTTTGAATCATCGTAGTTGTTATTTTTGAAATAAATTCGAGTGGCGCGGGGAAATTTTTATTCAGTTGTAGTAACACTTAAGTTGCTACCGTTTAGAATGAATCATAAGCTTGTCATACTTTGAGTTGAACAAACAGAAAAGGATCGTTTCATAATGTGGGTCGCATGAATAAATGTCTGAAGTAAGATATATTTGAGGGCGTGTATGATTGTTTAAATTTGCGTCAAAAGGGTATGTATGTAGTACAAGGGTGGCGGCGAAATACATATGTCGGTAAATCCCAGATAAATTGGGGGTAAATGGACGTTTTTGATCTTAATGGTTAACACAATTAAGTAACTTTACAGTACGTGAGAAGTTTCAGACATCTAGCAAACAGTGTAAATCAACGATTTCTCATCTTAACTTTTCAACGTACTTCACTATCAAGTAAACATATGTTAGTACATAGGACTTTATTAAAAACTCCTATAGCTTCTCATGTACCGCTTTGGTAGTATATCAAATTGAAAGATCAAACGTTATCGCCTAGTAACATTAACTACTTCACATATTTTTGTTGACATTATTAACGATGCAGACACTTTACATCCAAAAGTTTAATGAAGTCAAAAACTCTTCTTTCTGATCTAGTGTGTTTCGCTTTTAAAAGCAAAAAGCGCACGTCAGTTAGATTTGTCACACACATAAGTTAAATTTGTTACACCCACTTCGACGAAATTGTTTAAACCACGTCGGCCCGGTATTAGAAAGAAATTTTTGATGATGGATTAACAATTTGTTCATACATGTCGTGATGAATAATATTTTCTATCAAAAGAAGTCAACTCAACCAAAACCTTAAGCAGAAATAATAGATTTGAGATGGATAACAGGTCTAAAATAGTTTTTCTGTCGGAACAAGTCAACGGGAATATGTCAAAGTTTTCTGGGAATTCTTATCCTATGCAGTTAATACTCTGAAAACATAATGCTAATTAGTATGGTATGGCATTAGCGGTCTGTTTGGTCTTTTGTGTTGTGTCATGCAATGTTTTGGTCAAACGGAAATGCCTCAAAGTTGCCCAAAGGTCGTATGTTAACTAGTTTATCTTGTGCCCTTTAACCCAATCCGGTGTAAATGGGGTCCAACCCTTAATTTATTGATACATGAAAAGATATGTAAATCTCTGTTTTGACACAAAGGCGCAAGATTAGCTTCCAACCGGTCTTTAAAGTTTGGACAAATCTGACAGATGTTGAAAATATGACAACAATGTGATGGCCATATCTTGTTATTGAGGTATATCAACTCTCAATTGTAGATTCCAATTTGTTGGAAATTGACCTTTAAATTTCATCATTTCCAAATGAGTTAACATTAAGGTTTCATTTCTGATATGTACGTGATTATGATAGCGTTCGCATACCGCAAACGTTCCACAATAATGCATTTATATGTATTCAGAAAACCGCATTATACCACTATGCCGGATACTTGTTGCAAATGGTGTAATTATTCAACATTAACATTATAACACGTCAGAGTTATTATACGGGTGCCGACTTTCTCACGATGTAGACATATGTGTTATGAATTGCTTTTTAGTAAATTTCTTTCAAATGCCGTCGACATGGTATTGAAAAATTGTCCGCGGATCAGACAACGTCAACCAAGAGTACTTTTTGCTTACATGACATGTTGCATAAACACTTATAATACTGTCAAGTTTTACAATTGTATATTTAGAAAACAAACCAAACCATTTTAAAATTGGATTATTCTGCAAAAAGTTTCCTGACTTTTACCTAACTTGAAAGTCGGTTCATTACATTGTTAAGTTTTGAATTAAATTAATTTGATCGCTTCTACATTAGATTGATGTTAATTTGAAATGGAGAATTTACTACTTAACTTATGACTGATGGGGTAATTTGTGATCGCATACCAAATGTGTATACTGTAAATGCAAGCTTCTAGTTTGCTATCTTCTATCAAGTGTACAAATACACTTGATAGACTCGAGTTGTTATTCAAGTACGGAATCAATGAGCACAGAATAATGAAAGGTTATATGAAAACATCAAAAACTTGGCGATTTTGAAAAGCAAAAAAGATATATTCAAACTTACTGAAGCTGACGGACAAATGAGCTTGAGTTGCGACTCTCCTGAATCCGTTAGATGATTCGCATCTGTAGAGACCAGAGTCAGCAGTGAAAACATCGCTTATTTGGAGACGTGATATTCCAGATTTCTGACGGATTGAAATTCTTGGGTCGTCTGAGGGGTCAATGACAGTATTACCCTTGTACCTGACATTGAATATAAAGTTTCATATTGAGATTAAGAATATGACGTCAGCTGCTGAAGCTTGTATTATTCTATATTATCTAGCTCTATTCCAAAAAATGAACCCATTAGAGAGAAACGAAGTTCACACTTGTGGGTATTAGCATTTTATCGCGGGATTTACGGCTGCCACATTGGTCGGATTTTAAACCAAAAATTGACCCACAAGGGTCTGAAAATTCATTAATTGCCCTATTCTCTCCCTCGTAATTCAGAAATCACTAAAAATAAGTTTGTTTATTATTTGTTTTATGTAATTACAAAATACGAAATTGCCTGAATGCACATAGAGCTCACTGATGAATGCATATTACACAATTATACTTCCATATGCTTAACACTACACGAAGGTTAAACTCGATAAATGTGCAGATACTCTTTCCCAAATTGGATGGAATTTATCCGCTAAAAGGGCCAATAAATGAGATAAAAGTGTTCTAAGTTTACATATATTAACTGCTCCATTGGTCTGAATACGATAATCCGATACATAAAGCTGATTAGGAAATTAAATTTATCTTCCAAAAAATCGCACCATATTTACTTTCTGTAAAATTTGCAAGTTCTTTAAGTTCAATACTGTAACTTGAACAAGGATAAATGGATTACGAACAAATTTGTTAGAAGGTTTAACACGGTGATCAATTTATTAGAACTTGTTAAAGCAATTGTGTTATGGTGTAATAAGTATGCTTTTGTTACTGATTAAATTAACCGCATATTATCTTGGTCTAATTGGCTATACGATCGCTTGAATTTGCGAAAATACTCCCGCGGGCGCGGGAATTGGCACGATGCTATCCATGTTTGCAGCAATGTTATTTTTGCATCTCAAGACCATCATGTTTTTATTAATAATACAATAACAAAATAGTGACATAAAACGGGTTGTAATGACTGGTTATTCCTCACTAATTAACTATGTTTTTTTCATTTAAATTTTAAGTAGCGAACAAAAACTACAGTTATGGATTGTGGTAGAAACGAATAAGTTAATTCACCAACTCAAAAAATCCAGGCACTAATTTTAGGGAGATATTACAATAGAAATGAAACTGGTGGTAAATCGTGTCGTGTTTTTGTATCACGATAAGAAATTGAGCAATTATATGGCGACGACAGGGTGCAATTAAAATCATCTACATATTTTGCGCAATATATTATTGTTACAACAAGCGAACCTGAAGTTTAAAAAAGTTGGATTTTGCCCAGCAATAAATTGGCACCGCATTGGTGGCCTTTACAGTAAATAAAGCTGGTGAAGTTAATACATGTTGGCATGTTAGACCAACTGTCCGGAAATATAAATACAAACAATACATGCGCAAAGTTTTTGAATGACCTTCGACCCATGACTTGGTAGAGAAATTTCAAACCGGAAGCAAAGGTAAAGAATGGGAGAACAATAGATTTTGATTTGATCATAATTAAACGTACAAAGTACTTAATTGTGGTTATCTACGTCGCCATTTTTAGACTACAGCTCTGCAGTTTGTTGTGAAAATCCCAACTTAGGGCTTTATCTACAAAGTGATAAAAATCCAGTAATTTAACCCGCATATGTGTGTTACAATCATGACTTTTAAACTGATCGCGTTGACTTAAAAAATCAATAACGCTCACTTGGCCCCATGAATAAAAACGCTTTATATGATTTGATTGAATGACCGGAAAATGTTAGTTGCCATTTCGCGTTTTGTTTTTTATTGTTCACTAAACCCGCTCACACGCAGCTTTGTGTGGTGTGAATACAATTCAGTGCCCCATGTTCGCTGATAAACGGTTTTTAGATCGCTAAATCCCTCATGGATATCAAGATGGACGATGAAATTTCGATCAGTGGCAAATTTAACCCACAAATCAGTCTAATCCCATCTCCGGAGAGTAAATTAAGTAATTTTCGCATGCCCTTTGTCCTCTCTGTGGTCTCGTTGTGGTTTGCTGTAAACATTCTGGCAATGACGTCAACCAAAATATCTGTGGCATGTTGTTGATGTCACAGCCGTCACAATTGATTATGGAGGGAAACTTGACCCGCAAATTAAAGTTAGTTATAATTGATGCTTTACAACAATGCCGAGGGGCGTCGACAGAAACATTTGTTAAGGAGAATAGATAATAAGGCATATTCATTTCATACACTAAACCTGGATTAGTAAATAATTGCCGATTTTGCATCACTCACCATGTAAATGTGACGTCGTCCATAGGGTACCCTTCGACTTTGCATCGGAATTGAGCTTTTCCTCCTGAGACAAGAGACTGATTGTGCATGTCTGACACTACTCGGAAATAATGGCCTGAAATAATATAGTTATGACGTCAAATATATTACGTAATTGAAAAATAACGGAAAGATTTGTAGATTTGGTGACAGATTTTTTCACATGCAATTTGAGGTTGTCAGTGGATGGCAAATTAAGTTTTAGCGAGCAGGTGCGCTTTGATGAATCTTAGTATTGAAATACTCCAGAATTAAGAGAAAAGATGTATTATTCTTAAACCACACATATTCGCACCATTTTTATCCGCACTCTTACGAGGAAAGATGGATGATATATTTCCTACTGTACATTCAGCACCTCCACTAATCCCAATGTTTTTTCAAGTTCTGTATATTGTGCATATTGTGAAAGACGCTTGGCAGAGATGACTTCATGGATTTAATAGTGTTAACAGACGAACGTTTAGATTCTGAAGCGATGGCTTATGACTAAGACGATTAAATCTCTGTACTTGCACGCTCTGGTTAGGGTGACGACAGGGTTATTGCACGCGTTGGGTCCTTTTTGATGAATAGCCTCATTTTTATTTTAAACAAATATCGGCAAGATAAGTTGCGTGGAGATATTTTGTTAAAAGGAAACCTTAAATTTCTACCACATGTCAAATTGTGAACTCGAGACCACATTAGAGTAGTAACACCACTTATTTGATTTTATCGTAGGATTTTAACGTCATTAACATCCATAGCATTGCTTGGTATGCAGCCTGCAAAAATGTGAAAAGCGAAAAAATTTAACCCATTTGTGGAGATGACACAGTAACAAAACAATTACTATAATGTTATAGACAGAAGTGAAAGTATACTGATTTGAAGATTTATTCGTTTTTTAGCTGCCAATATTAGATTTATAACAAAAGTTACAACATTTTTAATTTTGTTTAGACTAGTATGATTCAGGGTCAACCAAAGCTTCTTTTATCACTTTTAAAATCTATTGACTAAAAGCAACATTTCGGAGCATTTGCGAGGTAGCTAATCTAACAACCAAATCTTGAGATTGGACGGAAAACACGAATCTTTCTCTAGAAAAACATAGCATTCGTACTTCAAGCCTTTCAGAAATCAGATAACTAATTCTCAAGCGAAAACGAATTTTTACGTTTTTAAAAAGCATTGTGTGCTTTATAAAGCGAATAAAAAGATTAATAACGCAGATAAGGATGGAGCAAATTGTATTGAGGCTAGTCGTGTTGTATCGTAACAAATGTGACATTGCGCAGTCCGGAAATTTGCACATCTATGCCATGAAAAGTAAATTTTCTCGCGTGATAAAGCTTGAATATAAAGTACAAATCAATCAGCATATGACCATATTTTGACCCTTGACAGGTCACGATATATTTCTTATTGGTATAAATATTTTCTTTAGATTATTCGCGTGGAAGCTGTCACCCGCTTCATTTACCTGAATCATTTGAAGCCACAATATCAGAGACATCAAACTAATATCATTTGAATCACTATAAGGGGAATTAATATAAATATAATACCAGATCTTGGTCAGAAAGGATATAAATTCCAAGTCATGTTTAGATTACTGATCACACCATTTTCTTTCCGTGATATATTTGTTATTTTTGGCACTAAGGATTTGTTCTGTCAAAAGATGCTTTTGAATGGTTAAAGAAATATTTATCAAGCATTGTTTATTGTTTTTATTAAATAATGTCAATATCACGAATTTAATTTGCACATTGTTTTCATGTTTTTTTTACAGTTTTGATGTCTCTTGAAGAATCGGATCATTTTTTTGTGGTAAAGTCAAAGTAATAAAATCATAAATTAAAGTTGGATTTGAAAGTTTCAAACAACTTTACCGGCTTTTATATATAACAGTGATAGCTTTATATGTGTTGCAAATTGGAGAATTCAACTTCCATACATATATCTTCAATATATCAACTCACAAAATCAATTTTAACATGTATATTATGCTAATTTAAAAAATAAAATGTTTCGCATAGAATTTCTTGTGAAATAACTCACCCGTATCGGCGTCGCTCTGTCTCCCATTTTTGCCATTGCTGTAAAATAATGTTTACATTGAATGAATACAAATATCTTATATTGAAAGTATTTCACACTTAGGTTACATGAATTTGACTTTAGGATAAATTTTCGCGCCAAAAATATTGTTTGCGTTGCCCAACATTGAACAGGTCTCATGAAATTATGATTTCCATAAGCCTGTTTAGGATAATTGAAATGTTTTGTATAACTTTTATCTGATAATGGGATGAATATGTAATTGAAAAAGTATGGCATTACATCTTAAAATGAATTAAGGTGTATACTCGTTAATTCTAGGCGTCCTGTTATTTATCAAATTATTTAACAAATGTAAATTAAAGAACATTTGCAATACAATTTTTATATTTTGATTTGAAAATATGAGATTGAATGCATTGCATAAACGGTTTATGAGCAAGGGAGATATTAAATCAGTCGCATACAGGTAAGTCAGAACATGTCAGATTATTGTTATGATTTTGTAGAAGGTATAAATAAATTCACAACCGGAAGGAAACAAAATTTCAGGGTTTGACAAATGAAATCATCTGTAATTTGCCACACAAGTCGTTCGCAGGTGACAGACGCCAGAGGGGCTTGGTAGTAATATTTAATACACTTCAATTTAACCATGTAATATATCAAAATGTCAACAAAACATTATAATAACAATGGGCGAGTGGAAACGAATAGACTTTGGAATTAGATGTAAATTAGACACGCATTTATTGAATCTGTAATATAATTTGGTATGCCAAATATTTCAATATTTACAAAAGAAAATATGAATTTATTATTCATATGTTATTTCGAAATTATATAATTTGATTTATTTATACATAATAATTTAATGATATTAATAGAAATAATTTAAAAAATATGTTTGTGTTGTAAAGTGCTTTCCAACTTTTCCAATAACGTAATTGTTCATTTCTGGCATAGTGACAATATTTTTGGAGTGTCTACAGTCAATTGCTCATGTAAAATTTTCTAAACATCGGTTTTTAATAATTTACTGCCTTGGTTCTTTCAAATCGTGCGTGAAAAGCAGTATTCTTATATCGAAAACTGTTAAAAGACGTGAATGGCGTGGTCATATTGTGGTCATATGAGTGAATAATTGAAACAACGGAAACGACAACAGTTTTGGTGGAAAATACCAGAAAAAATGGTTAAAAATTATAAACGTTAATAATCTGTACACTAAGCAGCAACGAATTGATTAGAAAATCGTTCTACAGTCGTCACATAGACTGGGAAGTTGTGGCGACAAAACGGACGTAAGATATAATATTGTAAAATTCCACAGACCTAAAATTGGTTAAATCCTGTTGCCGAAAGCATTAATTTTGTGTTTTTCCGTGAACTAGTAGTGTCGTGAATTTCTGCCAATTTAGATTTGTAATATTGAAGTAGTTTCTTACAAGCTAACAATTTTGTCGGATTAACGTCAATTAAGCCGATTCAGCCGCATAATTCTGGCATAGTAGGAATGGAATGTTGTAAAACAAAACAAAGTGCAAAAATTAGGTAATTTTTAATGGTTTTCTATACAGTAAATAGTGTCTAGTTTCGCTTTGTACTTCGCAAATGAACAATAAAAATGCAGCAATTTTATAAGCATTTGTCAACTAGGATATTTTCACAAGTAAATTGTAATTGAGCACTGTGAAACTCCCGTAACCTCAATAATTAATGCCGTACCCTGTGAAATAGTGAAAAAATGTTACCTTTCGCTTGCTGCAAAGTTTGTTCCTTGAGCTGAGAGTTCTTTCAATGGAACTTCAATTGGCGGTTGCACTGGAGCTGATATTGTGCTATCTGTAAAAATAAGAAAAGAATGTTTATTTGTGATTGAAAAATTACTGACACTTTATTATTTGAATTTAATGATATATTTTTGCTTAAGATCTCAAACAATAATTACGCAGTCTCAAATTGAACGAAAATTGATACATTGGGGCGATCCTCCACATTGTACTACAAGATATGGATCAAAGCTTGCGGGATGAGGGATTTCAAAAATCAAAGTGACATGATATGATTCTTGTTGGTAAGGGTGTGCCCTTTCACGTGCCGAGATATCAATTGCACAATGTTCAAGGTAATCAAGTAGGATTGCATGATGTCACAAGACCTTTAGCTTCAGATAGGTCGCATTGTAACGCACGTTGCTTTTTGCGTTATATTCGCACGTTTAATTGTTATAATATTATAAATCTAATCAAATGTTCTTTAAGTAGTTGTTACTTTGTCGTGCCTTTAATAAATGTTTCAAGTGTTGTTTACTGGTTACTATGAATATGACAGATTGAAAATCCGATAATGAAAATACAGACACCAAAGAGTGTCAGTTTTATGATAAGTGTGCAAATGAAAAATAGATCATCACCGCAGGTGCCTACCATAACTAAAATAAATAATGGAAAAAATGTGCTAAACTCAATCGCATATCCAAGTAATACGATTTGCGTCCAAGTGGTAATAATATCAAAAGGTGCTGAAGCCACATTTTTCTTCAAAATAAGGTCCAGCTATTGAGTAAAAGCAAGCATGCAATAAGGACACCTACCTACCCTTCTATACATGAGAAAAACTGAATCAGCGTATCACGCTCAATTTAACTGGCGCACAATTTAACTGGCGTGGGTCTAGTGCGACTTCGACAAAAAAAATTTAAAAGTAGGTAAAATTGTTATTGTGCGAGAGATTTTAACAAGGCATAAGGGAATAATTGAGCCAATGTTTAAGTAATTGTAACAGCATATCGCGAAATTAAGGAAAACATCGCAGTTTAATTATAGGCGTCGAGATACTCGAACTACTTTTCAAAACAACTTTTCCTGTGTTTTGACGCAGCTTTGAGAAAATATATTTGTAGATTTCATAATGACTACATGAAATAAAAATTCAATTATCAAAAGGTGATCCAGTTTTCGTAATTTAAGTCATAAATTTCTTCTCGAATTTTTTTTATTATAATACAACAGAAAAACTCCAAACTTGAAACTTGTGCAAATCATAACGACATTTAAGCTATGAATGATACCAATATTTTGTGAAAAAGTTCTAAGAAGATTCTTCTTGTTGTTTCAGGGTTTTACTAAGAATATAAGACGCGAAGTTTTCACCATCTCGAGATTTAACAGACGTTACTGCTCGTCGCCTTTGAGTGGGATAAGCCACGGCGCGACAACTAATCTATTAAACAAAACCGGACCCTTTGTTGGTTTCAGCACATAAAGATGGATGGGAAAATGGCCAGAAAAATGTCCAAGTGACGCAAATGTCCTATAAGAGGGTGCTTGAAGACCGCATCATAAAGTTAACACTGCGCCGATGGTCGTCATTAAATTATTGTGTATGTTGTCAGCGTAATGAGGAGACCTTTACGACGCCAAAATAAAAATTCGAGTGGTATAATACTACCAGATATTTGTACAAACGGCTACTAAACTACTAGAAATACCAACATATGATGAGTGTTAATTATAAGTGTATTAAGCACTCATGGATCGTTAGAAAAACTCAAATATTTTGTAGAAACGTGATGAGAACCAGATGTACGTAACTTCACATATTTGGTGGGAATGGAACACTAATTATGTTTAGTTTTGTGGTAGACTATACACATGTTAGTACTGCAGTATGAAGCAACGCTTGAACGCATAAAGTCTACATAATCCACAAGTATGCAAGTCTGCCAATTTTCTATGAAAAGACCTCGGGGCGTTTCGCCCTGTCAAAAACGTACGTTTGTTTACAAATTTGCTTGGAGACTAATACCAATTCGACGTAATGTGACAGCTGAAACAACGGGTTTTACGTGTGATAACTAAACATTTCCCAGCGTCTGAATTGGCAATTTGACAATGTTTATAAGCAATTTGCTACCACAGCGGAAAATGGCAATTGATGAAGTAAACAAGATTGTGTTAGTATTGTCTGTGGCACCCTTCCAGGAAAGAATTTTCTTTTTTAAACTTATAAATGCAAATAGCGAAACAAATATAAAACTCCTCTTGCCTCATGCCTAGCATAAACGTATACTAAAATTAAAGTTTTTTACTCAACTTCATATCATCCTTTTTGGCCCACTTGAGCTATCACATAGTCATAATCCAAGATAATAATATTTTAGTTAGGCCTTGACTGGGGATAAAAGTACTTCCTTTACATCAAACTCTCATTACATCGCTGACCCATTGCCAATGCTAATTGGGTTAGACTGGCAGGCTGTTTTGACTGGACTTAAGTGGTTTGAACTGGCAGCAATTATAACATTTAAAGAAATTTCAAGTTGGGTGTTAAGACAAAATATATATGAGTTCTTTGAAGAACTAATCGCTTCTTTCCGGATAATTTCTTGTGCACCAGCATTACTAGACTGTTAATCTTTGGGAATCACCTTCAACGTTTAGGATTTAGTAAATACAGGAAAAGCTAAAGGGCGTGGGAAAGTGGGTATTTATAGAGAAACGAAATGACGCGAAATAAGTATTGCGGGAATTGACTTTGACAGAAATGTAAATACCAATTAAATGGGCGTGAATTTCTTGCGTAATAAACACCTGCTGTAGAAGTGCGGTAATTTTGCTTCTAGACAGCAAGTTGGTCTCATTAAGAATGAGAAAAGTTTTTGCTGAATATATTGCAAATATTGGGTTGACTATTACAAGACAAATAGTTTGCTATTTTGCGTTTATCTATATATTATGTAAAGTTTATTTATTTTTATATTTAACACCCAATCATTCAAAATGTCGGAATTTACAGGTTCATTTTACTTGGTCACGGCTTGTCGAGTTTTATCCCTTCGTTCTCTTTGATGGTTGCTAATGGTCAAAATCCTACTTGAGCTGTTAGAATGCTTGGAGTAAACATTGTTTGCTTTCTATGTAAACTAAAAACTTGAATTCGCCTTCCCAGTTGTAAAAAAATGTTATTTGCGCGTTCGGATATGATTTGATGATATTTATTATTTCTTGTGGAATGCCATGTTGATTTTAATTGGATTAATTAGGCTCCATCTGCGCTTAAACATCATTAGGAATTTATAATACACAGTTTGTGTTTTTGATTTACTTCAACGTTAAGCTGAGCAGTTCAACAAAAGGTTCCAAGCCTTGCCAAAACCCACAAGATCTTATCTTTAGTGAATTCATAAGAAAATACAATGGTTCCTACTTCAAATTGTTCTCAAGGGCCCGCTTTAGGAGCAAAGAAAAGCGTGAATGACTTTCCGAGCTTCGCGATAATAACAAGTGCCCTTAACCATTTAATTGTACGGAACACGACAGAAGTCATTGTTTTTACTAAGTTTTGGTGATGATTTCTTGAAAATGATTCGTTAGATAAATTTGTTTTTTCAAGGTTATACCACAAACCACTATAACGCCTAGTACCTTGGAGGAAGGGTTTGCATGCTTCATGAAGCTAGATCAAAGGTTCCAGGATAAGCTATTTAAAGCATTGGCATTGACTCAATAAGTGATTACAGACACTTGCTAATTTACGGAACGGATCATTCGACCAAAAAATGTTTTTAAGAGTGATGTATTTGTAAATTCATGGGAATTACCAATATTGCTAACCTTAGGTTAAATTATATACATTAGGTTTGCCGTTACGTAAGTATAAACAATTTGTGGTTCATGAGCCCATTATCCTTTGATAAATACGGAAAACAATGTCAAAGGTGTGTCCAAAGCCAATAAACAACCGCTATTTAATGGCCCATAAAAAGGGCTGAATATAATCTCAAAATTTTGGGATTTTCAGTTTTATTTTTCGGCATAATCGCGGTTATCACTCGGGGTACGTAATCCATGTAAACACCGCTAACAAATGAGCCGCTAACAAATGAGCAAAGAAACATAAATATAAAATATGATGTAGACCCTATTTTGGGGGAAATGCACTTAACATTTTACTGGTTAATTAACACGAGTTGCACGGGTTGATTAAATCGCTCAACAGACGGATGGGTACTCGCTGTATCCTAGTCGGTATTTTGACAAAACAAGATTATATCGGTTCTCTTTTGAAGTCTTTAGCGTCGAAGTGAGCGAGAGAAGCGATCTATCATGAAATTTGAAGGGCTGGATTTGAACAAGGACGTGTGGGGGAGGGGTGGGATTATTTAAATCAATGCGCATACGCAAACGTTAAACATACAAGGCCTGCTTGTGAAAGACTAATATTTCAGATTAGATGTAACTATTCATACCTAATAGATACGCTGATGTGATTGAGAATACGTATATATTTATCATTCTGGATGTCAAAGACACAAGATATTTGAAGTTTTGTGTTTTATTAACGACGCAGAAGTGGTCCAAAGGTGAGACTTAATAATGATTGTTCGACTACTGTGTACACGGATATGGACTTATTAATATAAAGGTTGGACTACCCTTTCAACAAGGGCATTACAAGGTTATCATACGAAGCACACAATGCGGACACATTAACTCTGTTAGCTTAAGTAAATAAGATCTAAAAATGGGATTTTGTTAAAGTGACTTCTTCTTGTTTGTGTATTGTGAGATTAATTCGGTTTCAGCCCTTCCGTTGCGATTTCGCATTGTTGTTTTACGTATGGTATATTTATCTTAACACGCCTAAAAGCCAAACCCTAAAAAACAGGAATAATTTTATAGGATTGGTTAGTAATAAACATGGGAAGCGGAATCCCTACAACGGTACAGCTTCCAAAAGAAAATGGTCCATTTTCAATTCAGTGTTTCATAAGCATGGCTATTTAATTGATTGGAATGTAGGCTTCTTCGCAATTAGTACCTTTAGAAAATAATGAGGGC